CAAATGATACAAAATAATCAGTTTGGAGGATCACCTACTGAAGATCCTAACTTACATCTTGCTAATTTTCTTGAAATTTGTGCTACATTTAAATAAGACGGAGTGTCTAATGATGTTGTTAGGCTTAGACTTTTTCCTTTTTTATTAAGGGATAAAGCCAAGACTTGGTTAAATTCGTTAGCACCTCGATCTATTAGAACTTGGGGAGAACTATCACAAAAATTATTGGCTAAATATTTTCCACCCTCGAAAACCGCTAAACTTAGAAATGATATTACATCTTTTTGTCAGTTTGAAGGAGAATTGATATATGAAGTCTGGGAAAGATTTAAAGATCTTCTTAGGAAATGTCCACATCATGTTTTACCAGATTGATTAATAATTCAAACATTTAACAATGAATTAGTTGGATCACTAAGATCTATTATAGATGATGCTGCGGGTGGTTCATTAATGTCAAAAACCTTTTGATGAAGCATATTCTTTAATTGAAGAAATGACTATTAATAATTTTTAATGGCCTTCTGAAAGGGTAAATCCTAAGAAAGTAGCTAGTATTCATGATTCTGATGCAATGTTTATATTGAAATCTTAAATTGCTGCTATTTCTAAAAAGATTGATCAAATGGGAATGAATTATTCTCAAGTACCGCCAGCATTAGAGGAGAATTCATTAGGACAGATTATTGATACTCAACCATCTTATGAAACTTTAAATGCTATAAATAATCGACATAACAAACCCTATTCTAACTATTTTAACCCTGGTTGGAAAAATCACCCTAATTTTAGTTGGAATAGTTATAATAATTCGGTGAATCCATCCAAAAATCTGAACAATATCCAAAAATCTGATCCAAAAATCTGAACAATCAAGGAAATCATTATTTTCGACCTTATTATCCTCCGGGATTTAACTTCAACCCTAACCCACAAGTTAAGGAAAAGGAGGTGACGAAGGAAGAAGTAATGTTGAATATGGGAAATCAAATACAAAATCAAGGGGCTGCTATTAGAAATATTGAAAATCATCAATTAGGACATATTGCTACTGCACTTAGTAATAGACCTTCTCGATTTCTTCTAAGTATTG